TTCCTAGTCTGCCTGCTCCGCCATGGCCTCCTGAACTGTCTTCTTCGCCATGGTCTCCTGAACTGCCTGCTCTGCCATAGATTCCTAGTCTGCCTGCTCCGCCATGGCCTCCTGAACTGCCTGCTCCACAATGGCCTCCTGAACTGCCTGCTCCACAATGGCCTCCTGAACTTTCTGCTCCGCCATGGCTTCCTAGTCTGCCTGAGCCGCCATGTCGCCCCGAACTGCATGCTCCGCCATGGCTTCCTAGTCTGCCTGATCCGCCATGGGTCCCAGAACGGATGTTGTGGGGAGCGTGGACGCGCCTTCCGGGAAGGGGGAGTAATGTCAGTCCTGTGTTCCGTGTTTTCCTCCCCCACGTGCTTTCCATTACCCAGTTTTCCCTCATGTGCAATTATGTTATTGCTCCCAGGTGTTTCTCGTCATCCCCTCTTCATGTCTTGTGTATTTAAAGTGTTTCCTGTTCTGAGTTTGCTGTCTGGTATTGAATGTTGTCTCTCCCCGCTACGTGTGTGTTCCTGGTTCCTTTGATGTCAAATAAAGTCTGTTCGCTGGAAGTTTACTCCTCGTCTCCTCGCTCCGTGCTCCTCAGAGTAGCGGTGCGTGACAATATATGTGTGTGTGTGTGTGTTTATAAATAATGATAAATATATTACACCTATTATAAATAATATATAAACATATCCTCCTGAGAACCAGAAAAAAAGCTTTGTGAATTTAGTATTTTTTCATGTCATTACATTGTTTAGAGCATAAGAAAAAAATGGAAAAATAACATTTTTGAAAAAATATATGTTATTCATATGTTATGTTATGTCCTCTGTAGAGGACACCAGGACTCAGTTTTTCTAAAAAATAAAATGACATGAATAGACATGAAAAGGCAAAAACAATGGGATTTAAAAAAAATCACTAATCAATTTTTAGGTTTCAGGATTTTTTTATACCAAACTTTGTATAAGGATGATTCTCGGTCCGTGTAACGCTTCACAATTAAATTTTCAGGCCATATGGTGCAAATGCAAAAATAAAAAAATTAAACCGAATGTTATTTTATTCATATTTTTTCGTGACTTCAGAAATTATAAATTAATAAATGAAATCTAAACAATTTTCTATTTTTTTCTTGCAATTTGTGCTGTGGGCTGTACCAGTAGCGCGGGGGTGTGGCCGCATACTGTTTTACAAACGCTTAATGTAATGTAGCCTACTAAAACAGTGACATTGAAGGTCCAAATTCAGTACACACATTATTAATAAAATATATTTACAGACAAGCAGAATAGCCCAGAATATGGAAGCAATACATTGCACGTTAAGCGCATTAAGCACTTATAAACTCTTAATGTGGCTCAATGGACAAAGACAATAAAAATATAAATATAAAAAGCCCAAATTCGGTATACAGTTTATTAATAAAATATATACTACGTACAGGAAAGCAGATGAGCCAACAATATAAACGCAACGTGCTGAATTGCACGTTAAGCTTTTCCCCCATGTAAATAAACAAACGTGGCTTTATAGAAGAAGACAGTGTTGTAAAAAGGCCAAATTCAGTATAAACATTGTTTATGTTGCAAACTATACACAGGCAAGCAGATGTGGCCGGAATATGAATGCAACATGCAAAATCTCACGTTAAGCGTTTTCCTCCCATAAAAACCATTATGTGAAAACGCTTATGCATTAAGACAGTGATATTAAAATAAGAAACTCAGCATGCACTTTAGCATACTATACAGACAAGCCAAAGGGCCCAGAACATGAACGCAACTCGCAAAGTTTCACATTAAGTGGTTGAATATATATTCAGCTGATATGTTTATAAATTATTTGCATATAAAGTAGTTTTAACAGCAGGCTACATACCACGAATGATGTAACTGGTCAACAGCTGATACAAGCTGCCGCGGCCGTGGACAGTGGCAGATGAGCATAGCAGACGTTATAAATTACTAATGTTTTTCAAATCTAGCTTTTAGAGTTCAAACATTACCTCAAACTATCTAACTGGTAGCTGATATAACTGTGGAAAGTCCGTGGCAGCTGAGCATATAAATGAGTTTAGTAGAAGCTTTAGCAAAAGTAAAATTGAAAAAATGAGAGAAAATTGCAATTATTCATTTATGAACTGAAAAAAATATGAAAAAAATAACGTTTGGTTTCATTTGTTTTATTTTTGCATTTTGTCTGAAAATTTAATTGTGAAGCGTTACATGGACCATTCTTAACTATGTTATAAAAGATATATCAAAATGATTTGATATACCATTTTACTTCATGCAATATGTGTGTAAAATTTCCATAAACTGGTTTTCCCATTAAACACAATGTTATCTATACACTGCACCTAATTTGCATATAAATGTGCTGTTGGGATAGCATGTTGAAAAAAGAAGTGTAATAATGGGAGTAATAATTGGCCAGATTTTCATAATATTTCATAAGAATATTGATATATAATTTATTTTCCTATTCATTTGTTGTGTCTCCCAGAATGTGTAATAAACACACTTTTAGTCCTGCTGTTCTCTACACTGGACATGTATGAAATCAACATCCTGTTTCATAAAAGGAAGTCATATTTTGATTTGAAACCCCATAACATTTTCCTGAGATGTTGATTTATGACAAACAATTTGAAAATGAATCAGATGATACTAAATGATAATTACAAAATATTATCATATTTCCATAAGGATGTACAATTTTATCACTAAATTAATGTCAAGTCAGTTTTCAAGTCCGAGCAGAGGGAGTGATCATGGTGAAACCTCCAAACATTTGGTCTCGCTGAAAAGCCCTGAATGTGCTCTTTACAGGACATCCAGACTTACAGCTGTGACAAGTGAGGTCACTAAAATATAATGTCCACTACAGAGACAAAAACCCCATAGCTGGGTCTCAGGAGGATATAAATCATTAACGCAGAATACAGTTTCGTGAGCAGTATATTTAAAGACATTAAATTGTGTACATTTACCTACCATTGACAGATCTGACAAACATACAGTACAAACACACGCTAACACATCTGCGAGTGTAATTCCGCCCGCTGACACGCGGTGGCAGTAAAGCGTGCTCTGAAGCCTTCAGAGATCAGCAGCACAGTAAAGAAAACAGCTTTACACAACATCTGGCTGTTAAACAGATGAAAATAAATATTCTCTTAAACAGTCCGAATCCCAAACAGCCCTGATTACCCACTGCTCGAGCTCTGGCAGCTGAAAGACTACAGCGACACAGTGTGACTTCAGTGCAATGCATGAGATTTACATGATCCGTGTTCTGCACGCGCTTTCAGTCTCGCTGATCTAAACATTTCTGAAACATTTAACTGCAAGAAGACGCGAAACCGAACTCCATTAGGCCCCCGATCAGACAGAACGCGGTTTTTTTTTTTGCAGTGAGAGGCGCCTTTTTTAAGTTGTTTTGTATTGGGTTCTCTTTGCTTCTTCTTGCACTTGAATGGACACATAAACTAATGCTGCTCGATTATGGCAAAAATCATAATGAGGATTATTTTGGTCAATATTGTAATCATGATTATTTAACACGATTATGAGTGGGCCAAATTACCAAAACTTTATACGAGTGATTTATTTAAAGATAGCGATATATATCAAATATATATTTTCTGTAAATAAGGTTGCAATGACATCTACATTCTAGAGACCAGCGAAATGCCACAATTTTCAATACCACAGCTTCAATATTCAGCGAACAGCCTGCTACATAAACAGAATAATTGAATGTAAAATAAAACGGCATAGTCTTCACTGTAAGAATTAAGCGTCCTTTGTTTCTTATTAAAGCTACAAAAGTCCTTCACTCGAGAAGAGTCTTTTGTTGTTTGATTAATATGAAGCACACAGTCGGCAGCAGGAATATTAGGCTGCTGTCACTTTAAGAGCTGCAAAGATTCAATTTATTGTTATGCACATATTTTGATTCTCAACTGTTTTACGTTCACTTATTACATAACCAATGATGGTTTATGTGAATAATCACCAAGTGCGCATTTTGACACATTTTTGCATGTATTTGAGTGTTTAGGCGCCTTAAGCTAAAAGATGACTTTACTGAAACAAATCCATCATTCAGACGTTTTTATCTAAAGCACGAGTCCATAATCCATAATAACTCTTCCTCCAGTGAAAAAGTGCATCTGCTGTTGTCTCTCACATCAAAATCCAGCCACATATGTGTTTAGAGCTGTTTAAACGCTGCTTGATCTGTGCAGATTTCTCTCCTGATTCACACCAGAACACTTTTTCACTGGAGGAAGAGTTATTATGGATTATAGACTCGTTAAAACGTCTTAATGCTGGATTTGTTTCAGCTTTTGTCTTCTCCAGATGTTAACTGATGGACTGGAGTGCTGTGGATTACTTGTGGATTATTGTGATGTTTTTATCAGCTGTTTGGACTCTCATTCTGACGGCACCCATTCACTGCAGAGCATCCATTGCTGAGACACTGATGCAGTGCTGCATTTCTACAAACCTGATGAAGAAACAAACTCCTCCTGATCTCAGATGAACTGAGAGTGAGGATTTTTTTTTATTTTTGGGGTGAAGAAAAAATCTATATTTAATATATACAGTGCAGTGTCATTTTACTTCTGATGACTTTATTCAATTTCTGTGCCTTGACACTGCTGTTAGGACTAGCAGGAAATCATTCCGCACTGTTTATGTCATTAGCACCTGTGTTTTGTGGTATTTGTCATTAGTTTTACCCACCGATCTCACAGTTGCCTCCCAGGAATCCGATGCCGGTGCAGTCGCAGATGTAGCGGTTCCAGCCTTCCTTGCACTGTCCTCCGTTGGCGCAGGGGGCGCTGCTGCACCTCTTCTGGAGCTCGCGCGTGCAGAAGCTGCTGACACCCGGCGCGCTCTGGATCTCCGCCAGACGCCGCACGTCTCGACTCTTGCCGTCGATGAAGAGGTCGCGGACGCAGCCCACGTAGCCGTAGTTGAGCAGCGCGGTCCACACCTCGGGCGGCAGGATCAGGCCCTGACCGCTCTCCGGCAAACCACCCAGATACATGTCACTGTCCAGGTCCAGGATCTCACTGCCCTCGTTAGAGCTGAAGGGAATGGAGCGGCTGTTGACGGAGATGGAGCCTGGCCAGAAGAAGAAGGAGGAGAAGCGTGCATGAGCCATGTGTGTTTGCACGAGTGAGTGTTTCAGCGTGAGCGCTGCTCTCTCGGTAGATCGCCGAGATTTATGACTTACTCTTAATTGTCTATTAAACTGCAATTACAGAACTGCTGGACTTTCTTCCCCACAGGACACCCACCCACCTCCTCTAGTCTTACACTCAATTAGCTCATTACAGCAAATGGAGCAGCCTTTGGCAGCAGAGCTCAGCGTCGAAGGGGGTTCACGGTGTCTCGTTTTAGGAGCGATAAGTGCAGGAGTGAATCTTCTAAAGCAGCCGAACACGTTTAAGATTAATTTGTATGTTTACAGTATTTCTGTAGCTCAAACACTAGAGTGCGGCTTGGGTTCGATTCCCAGGGAATGCTTGAACTGATACAAAAACTGAAATAAAGTGTCTGCCGAATGCATAAGTGAAAATAAATGATGATTACAGTTCAGGATGACGTGCAGGAAAACTAAATATTCCATGCTTTTGTGTTTTATTTTGATTAATTATTTATTTATTTATTTACAGAATATAGCTGCACGATTTCATCAAAAAATTTGATTATTTTGGCATGTATTTGCAATTTGAACTGCAGTATGATTAATTCTCATAAGAAAATGTCTAATTGTCTGCTGCTGAAGCATTCAGGCAAAAGGAACACAGAGATCATTTCAGTAATAATATTTTTTATATTATTATTATTAAATCTAAATATGAAAATTTGGACAGAAATATACTATTGCAATAAAACTAGTAATTTAATAGTTCTTTAAAATAAAATAAAAAATAATAACATTCGATAATTACAATAGTTTTATTTTACATAAAATATTACAATATTAATATATCTTAAATTCTTCACTTTTAAGCATTAAACCCTCAAGTTATTTATTTATGCAGAAAAGACAGTTTAGTTGACTATGCTTCTCGTTACTGATCATCCACCATGAAGTTGTAAATGATGTGAATGATGAATGTGTAAATGAAGTGCACGCTGTGTTTGCTAATGCACGTTATAAGTAGCATGAACCGTGCTGCACTGAGATTCTTTTAGAGTCATACAGTCATCACGTTTTCAAGCTCGCTAAACTTTGTTTTTTTGTCATCATCATCATTGTCACGAATCCGGTCTATGGACTTCCGTTTGTTCACCACCAGAGGTCATTATCCACCACATGGACTCTGACACTACACAGACTGTCACACTCACCCTGGACTTCAGTTCCCACAATCCATTTCACTCTGATTACACACACGGCTGCAGCCAATCACACACCCTACATAAGCCATGGACTTCCTCTCTCTCATAGTCTGTTCTCCCGCGTTTGTACTCTAGCCTGTTCTCTAGTTTTGCCTGTTCTCTGCCTGCCCTGAACGATTTTGCCTGTCTTGGATTACCCCTCTCGTCTTGCCATGTTCAGATACTGTTTACCTCTCGCCTGGACTATCGCTTGTGTTTCGGATTACCCCTTTGGATTACCCTGTTTGGACATTGTTCGCCGGAGATCGCCCACGCCCGTTTACTGGATTACTCTTGTGTCTTGCCCACGTTACACCTGTTTGCCATTGTTTGACCCATGCCTGTTATATGACCACGTCTTGGAAATAAAGCCTTGCATATGGATCCGCACGTCTCACGTCTCGTTCGCCCCGTTACAATCATATACGTCTATGTAGTTCTTATTCATTTTTATTTCAGTTTTAGTTATTTAGTTAGCTATCCACCTTACTGCGATGATAGTCATCGGTCACTACAATAGTCAACAGAAACATGCCAATAGTTCATCCCATGCTTGTTTTGGCTGTTTGAACTCAAGTGAAATCATGCAGGTGAACCTGAGGCCGTGTGAAGCGCTGTGAGCGTGTTTTCCTCACCTCTCCGTCCCTCTCTCTGGAAGTCCACGTGGCACCACTCTCCGTCGTTCACCTTCTTGTTGCTGGTCTTGAGCTTGATGCTGCCGGAGCCCATGTCCATCAGCAGGTAGAGAAAGCCGTCGAGCAGCTCCATGGCGAAGTAGTCGGTCTTCATCTCGCGGCCGGGCCGCTGCTCTTTGCTGCTCTGAGGCTTGCCGTGGCTGAACAGCAGCAGGCCGCTGGGCTCCGTGGTGCGGAAGTCGAAGGAGATGGAGCTGGTCTTCTTGGTGTCCCAGCGCGGAAGGGAGATGTAGGACTCGGCCGTCTCGAAGGTCACGGGGTCCAGGGCCGCCACGTCCTCACAGCGGAACACCAGGTCCCCGTGTACACTGATCTTAGGGTCCCTCTCGATGGCCAGACGCGACAGCTCCAGCTTGAAGTCGTTGTTCTTGTACACCACCTGCAGGAGTGCATTACAGAAGGCAGTCGCATCGTTTGTTTGCTTACACACATGCAGAAGAATTCTTCCCAGGATTTTAAACATAAAAGTGAAGATTCACTGAATGACAAGTTCACAGATTTTCACCCAGCTTTGTATCGTTACTGGAACAGATAGTTCCGGTCCTTGATTCTGATTGGCTGAGCCACGTTCGAAGCTGTTGTAAATTACACTACAGACATACATCTATGTTTACGTTTGTCTGTTGCTCGGCAACCACTTTGTTGCAACCACAACTGATTCTGAGGAGCTACATTGTTTGGTCGAAGAATACTGTTTTTATTAATATCATTACACTTTATTTGCTCTGTTTTATTTTGTGAAACCTTACTACGTATATGGAATAACCGTTTTATAAAAGCAATAAGCTCCGCTTCACGTTGTACCTAACAACAACCCCTTAGCTGTTATAAATTAACTGTAAACCACGGCTTCTTGGGGCTTATTGCTTTATTCTGCGTGATATCTGCACCTAGATATCAAGTTTTTTGTAGCATAGATAAAAAAACAAAAACAAACATTTCTAGTCGTTTTGACATTGTTTACGCAAGTTTTATTAAAAGCCCATCTTGTCAGCAGTGAATTACACCTTTAGGTTTTTCCATCCTACACTCTCAGAAAAAAAGGTACACAAGCTGTCACTGGGGCGGTACCTTTCCAAAAGGCACACTTTTGTACCGTTAAGGTACTAATATGGACTCTTTAGATACAAAGGTGTACCGCTCCAGTGACAACTTTTGTACCTTTTTTTCTGAGAGTGTATGTAATTGATAATAAACATTAAGAGTGAAGTATGTCATTTCTGTCACTATCAACACCAACTTCAGCAGCAATTTACGAGTAACCTAAAATGGGAAATAAATAAAGGACAGAAGAAATGACATTAGTCTAACTGCTGCATTTAACACTCATAAATATCATTTCTATTCACGTGGGGTTTTCCTCCATGGGAAACTAATGATATTCCAACTGTCTAGTCAAATTAAATCTGCCGTTCGGCATTCAATGAAAAATGAAGGTAATAATGTGCTCTCAGTTTGTTTAGGCACATTTCATGGCATGTTTCCAGCAAAGACTATCAAAAATGAACACACTAAAAGAAATGAGGCTAACATTTGTCAGTACATTACAAAACTAATATTAAAACAGTGAGCAATATTCATAACTGTGTAGAATTAATTCATGTAGAGACTCTTCAGCACAATGGGAACCACATAAACTCTTTTAAATGTCAAACATAACTGCAGGTCTCTCTCTTCTCTCCAAAAAAACACACAACATGACACTTAGTTTCAAAGTTTCAAAATGAATTCGATGTTATATGCAGAGCTGCTGCTGGGAACTAGAAATCCACTGCCCAGTTTCAGTCAATGCAACATTAGTCCCAGCACTAATGGATTTTTTGTGAATTGTACATGATTTTGCATATTTAGTGGATAAAGCACAATAAGATGAAGGAGTGACAAAATGTTCAGTAATTGCGTTAGCTCATTTTAATTTAATTGTTATTATTATTATTACTACAGTGATGACAGCAATACAGACTTCAAACACTCCGCCCACCTGCCGTCACTCAAACAGTTAGCCCCGCCCCCAAACTCACACCATTGGCTGAGCACATGTAGTTTCATCTGCTCACACAAACAGAAATGACCTACTTCACCTTTGACCCTCAGATTGCGTCTCATTCATTGTGACCCGGAGGATTTCCTTTTGCTACTTAATATTTTCACATGGGACTAAATCTTACTGACTTTAAAAACTTCCCAAAAACATGTTTTGGTCATTTCGGTACTCTTTTGGGATTTTTCCCAGCTTGTTACACGTGTGGTGCTCCTGTTCAATAAATAACAAGCCTACTAAAAATATAATCTCTCATTGTGCTATGTTATTACCGAATCTTTTTGTCAACCTGTTCTCTTTCAGTTAGCACAGCTGTCGTGTTTCCTTTGGAGCTGATTGATCGTAGGCCTCATTGAACTCTGGCAAAATTATCCACAAATAATGTCTTTATCGCTCAAAAACTGAGGTGCATGAGCTCAGATCTGTGCTAACTGAAAGGAAACCAGCTGAGAAAAGATCATACCCAAGATTTCCTGATAATGAGAGGTTTACAAGCACTTGGTGGTGTTCAGAAACACCCGATCAGAGGGTTTCCAGCAGCTCAGGGGTTAATCAGGGCGTTCCTGATGATCAGTCGACTCACGTCTTTCAGGCAGCCCATGAAGTTGTTGCTGACGGGAGATCCGGGCAGATCGGCCGTGTTCGGGCTTCCTCCGATGTAGAAGAAGTCATCGGAGCCCAGCATGGTGTAGTCCTCCTGCGTGTATCCAGTGGTGGTCAGAATACCGTCCACTGAGATGGTGACCTGCGGGCGGAGAGAGAGAGATAGAGACAGAGACAGAGACAGAGAGAGATGTCCCGGGAGGAGCAGAGAGACGGGAGAGAGAGACAGAGACACTGGATTAAGGAGTCGTTGTGGTTGTGCGGCTCCGGGTGCGAGGGAACGCTTCTTTGGAGCGCAGCTGAACACAGAACAGCCCGCTTCACCACTGAATCACCAGAGACGCGATCACGGTTTCACAAAGCTGAGCGGAATCAAACACACTCTACAAGATACTGACAAGAGCACGCTTTCAGTTCAATAACGTGAACGAAAGACTAAGAAAAGCAGCGTTCTTTATGCGGTTTTGAATTAGATTTTAGTTATGTCTTTAATATATTTTCTATATTTTTATTTTTTTTATTTTCCAAGTTAATTTTAAAGTTTTAGTAATGTTTGTTTGTCATTTTTTATCCGTTTTTGTTGTTTTTAAATATGTCTATATACTTTGTATTAATTTTTATTTTAGTTTTAGTTTAGTACATCAAGTTAATGAAACTAGCTGAAATAAAATTACTTATATATATATATATATCTATAAGTAATTTTATTTCAGCTAGTATATATATATTCAGTTAGCATTTGTTTTAAGTAATGAAAGTGATGATTTTAGCTTTAGTTAAGAAGCACAGTTCATTCTTTCCTTTTTGTGTTTTTAATGCAAGCACTCTAAAGCCCTTTACTCCGTATTTTGTGCTCAGTATTTGTGTTTAAATGTGGCTCAGATTGTCCATTGTTGTGGCGAATCAGAGCATCAGAGCAGCTCGTTTCACGTCTCTTCAGCAGTTCGGACACATTTTCCTGCTAAAAGCTCTTATTAATAGTGTATTTCTATCATGCTGCGGTTCTGTAACGATTAACAAACCAACACACGCTCGCACATGTGTTTACTGCATCACTTCGCTTTTTAAAATGATTTGTCAGAATCACTTATTTGTTGAATAATAATGATGTTTTTGACCTTTCTGACTGAACATGTCTAATTAAAACCTGTGCTGATAAAGGCAGACGCTTGGCAGCGAAGCAGACGACTTTATCTGTCAAATTATATTTTTATTCAACGACTATCCTAACTATACTAAGCCGAAATGATTTCTCTTCACAACAAAACACAAAGCAGCTTCTACTGAAATCTGTGCTCCAAACAGTCCAACACGTCTGACAGCTTCAAATGAAGAGGAATCTGCTGGGATTCAGTGACTTCATGAATCAGCTGCGCCTGAAGAAGCGTTTTCCACAGCGCTCGTCGTTATGATCGCAGCATCGCTCACTTCACGAGACGCTCGTTTCTTTCGTTCTCCCGTACAGCGCAACACATTTTTATGTCTGCTGTCATGCTCTGAGAGCTTTGGCCGTTAATGCTGTGGAGCTGACGTCAGTCTCGTCTGGGTTTGGACCTTCATCAGCATGTCAAACTCTTCTTCCTCTTCTCTACACTCTTAGAAATAAAGGATTTCTGTGTGTGTGTGAGAGAGAGAGTGTGTGAGAGTGTGTGTGTGTGTGTGTGAGAGAGAGTGAGAGCG